TATATATATATATATATATATATATATATATATATAATGTATATATATATAATAAAATGGGTAAAATTTCAAAAATGAATTTCGGTCTCATGATGACGTCAGCTTGTTCGCCACTGTTGTTTGTTTAAAATCTGATTGTTGATCGCGAGACTATTCATGCAAGTTGATCAAATGCTAATGGAGTTCATTTAGCTTGGATATTATTAGGTACTCGGTTACACTTCATTGTTAGGTGACGGAGAGCAAAATAAACGTTTTTGTACAATAAATATACGATGATTCGGGGTCAATCAAACTGAGGTACAAATGACTCATCAACAGAGTTAGTTATGCTGCCTTATAACTTCATATATCATACTGAGGGGTTACACTCAAACCAGATTAGTTTCCTAGGACAGTTTTTCGAATGGTCTAAAGGACTGCCTTCGCGATAAACTGTTCCTACATAAATAATGAAAGGAAGAATAAGCTCAACTACACAACCAAATCGGTTTNCCTCATTAGGAGGGGGTGAAGACTCTAAATCAAAACTGAAAAGGTTGGATGCAACCAAAAGATCGAATCAAACATTGACTGATCATGTATTGAGAGCTCCGGGGTTCGACTTTTTTGGTGAATTATGATGTTAAAAGAAGGATGCTAAATGAGTACCTCTGATTATAACTACTCCACAGTAGAAATCATGTTTCCCACCTCGTTGAAATAGGCGAATTTCGCATACTGTGAGGCAGTTGTAACACAACAAGTTCTCTTCGATTTTTCGTTCAATTAAGCCGTTTAAACAATAAAAGTCATCATCGAGATACCATGAAGCAAACAAATCGATTACACCAGGCACAGGATGACGAATATGAAAAAGGATGTGCGGCGAAAAATGTGACAGAATGAAGATAAAGCTTACCCCAGTGCTAACTAAGGACAACATGATTCGCTCATTTAGTGCTAGTGTTTCTCCACCTTTCATTTTAATTCGCTTCTTGTCCAGACATTTCATGGCATACCTTAAAAGTAAATGAAAATGAAAATACCTGTTTATATCGAAGACAACGGGTAAAAACAGTATGGAAATATCATTTTAAGAACTCTCACACGTCATCCAACTATCCTGAGGATGCAACATGGCACCAATTGACATTCATTCAAAATCAGAATGAAATAAGTAAATGTGAGCTGATTCAGCCATACTACTGGAGGCAGACTACTTCGAGAGATGACTGGGTTCATAGAATAATGAAATACAGCGAACCGAAGCAGGAATGCTATCCCGAGAGCTAAAGGATAATAATGTAAACCAGAATCCACGTGACAATTAAAGAGAGCTTTTGATAATGGTTCACATGGTAGCTAGACTGCTCACACCATATACATATGAAAAAGGAAGGAGTGAAACTATCGCGAAGTTCAGTTTCGCTTGTCTTCAATATAGACTCCACTTGCGATGTACGGGCATGAAGCTTTTGTGGTTCGCGTTTGATCAGCTTGATGTACGTGAGACAGAATAGGTGTCGGCAATAGTGAGAAACCGAACACAAACTTTAGATAGCCAAACCGGAATCATAAGTCTCAAATTCTATAGAGCACGGTGCTCGCACATGGATTCTTTTAAGCGCGTGATTAGACACACTAAAGCACCAGATAATGTGTATGTGCTGGTATCACAACAGGATAATCCTTGCCTGTTAGCCATAAGATGCGATACACAAGTTCAGCAAAAGTTTACTTTTCGTCATTAAGCCTGCAGTTTACGTTCCGGAGTTGAGAACCACAAAAAGCTCAAATGATGTTAGGACGAGTTAAGAGACAGTGAATAGAGAAATCGTAAAAAAGGCACTTTCTCTTCTAAACTGCGATTAGAAGATTTGGCAGCCTATTAGTTAATGCTGTCGTTTTTATTTTTATTTGTTTCACACACGTCTGACGCCATACTGTGTGTCAAATAAATTATAGTACAATAATATTTATAAAAAGAAAAACGTTCCATGATTTGCATGTCGTATGTAAGGGCAGCTAACTGACGGGAGTAGTAATCCTGTTATCGTGTATTTTACTTTTAGACGACTGGCTCTTGTGCAAGGATAAGTAGAGATCCAGGATACTTCTGAAAGCTGCATTCTACGCTTCGTGATCTGCGGCGGATCAGACGACCAAGGTGCCTTACCAGTTAGGTGTTTGTGTGGTTCACAAGCCCCTTCTTGAATGTTTTGGCATTGGGCTTTTTCGCCGACCCCATTATACGAACTGCCTGTGGCTCACCAACCCGATCATAGTCCCACGCAGCTTCACCCCCGATGCGGGCTTTTCATCTTCTCACTTCAGTAGGAAAACACTAACAGATGAGATGAGCAGTGTCTTCAGTAATAACACTGGAAACACTCGACCGTGTAGAAGCATTTCGCGAGGTGCACGTGGATGGGGTCATTCCCAGGTGAGAACACTCTATTTGACTATATGAGGATTTTGGAGGTATACTGTACCCTGACCCATGACCAAACTCTTTGTGCGTTAGCCACACAAGTGAGCTGATCTTTACCGTCCAAGATTGTCTGAATTGGAGGGACGAAATATGTTGACTTTTGCACTTATTTCATCGTTTTTTTAATAACCTGAAAGGAGTAATGATGGAAGTACCTGACCTTAATATACTGATCAACGACTCCGATAATATCACCGATATGGTTTAGGATTAACTGAAAGGTTTCTGAACGAGTCCCCAAGAACAATATTATAAGCAAGTTAAAGGTCTACAACCCACACATTGAAGCTGAGATGCACTCCTGTGTGGTTTTCAAGAACGTTTTGTGCGGTAATTCGTCAGCATTGATGACTAGACAGCTTTGAGTTTCGGATGAACTCCGAAGAATCATTTCCGAAGATCAGAAATTATGACTGCATTAGAAAAAAAGTAATATTATAAACGGCACTGAGTATCTCATACACAATTTTGATTGATTTGACAGGACGGATTCATTCAACGTACAGTTGTCCAAGACGAGTATATCGGGTGGCAGAAGAATCTCTCGCTGGAGGACTGGCTTGTCCCCTTGGTCTTCATTTGACAATGCTCACAACTTTGGTTTCGGGATGCTGCTACTTAGTGAACGGTGGCTATGCTTCGATAAACCGCTCGACAGATGGGATAAACTAAGCTGACGGTAGTTGAGACGTCAAGAAGTACTAGTCAGATATTGCAGTACTTGGTTCATCATCGTACACCGAAATATAGTAAAGCGATCGCTTAAAGGTCCTGTGAACAACGTTTTGTACCGCACTTCGCTTATTTTTCCATTGGACAACTTAAATCATGAGCGAACATGGTGAAGTTGAACATGGAATACCTAGGTCTAGATTCGATTTGAAGAGTCCGGCTAAGGAAACGCGATTGGATGACCGACCTCGTTATTCGAGACGTCCAGAAAGCCGACCGCTCCATTAACAGGAGATAGTCGTCAACAAGTAAAGTAGAGATGTTCACAGCGGCCTATTAGCAGTGTAGTAGCTAAGCTGCAACTACTTAACTCCGGTTACCATATTAGATTAGCTGAGGGAATGATGTGCAACCAAATCGTCATATTATGTTTTTGGTTCCCCGGGTTCACTCAGTTGGTGACTAGAATATTATTATTCACTCATATATAATAGTAGCTCGTCCCTAATAAACGGAACTCGTTTTTACTTAAGTTCGCAATATTATTACGCCGATGACCGCCGTAGGAGAGAAATAAAAAGGTATAAACTAAAAAACAGACTGCGCAAATCAAAATCTTGGTACACCATTCAACGAGCTACGGTAGTCCATGTGGGATATCGGCTAAAGAACCTGACGATCATGTGGAAAGATATAAGAAGAGATCTGTGACAAAACTTACATTTTACCCGTATCAGCTTTACGGCAGCCATAGACCTCACCAAATCCACCCCGACCAATTATACGGTGCACGCTGAAGTCATTTGTGGTTAACTGAACATACAAAGTAATCAGGAAGGAAAATTAGCAAGACAATACGTTATCACTAACATAACAGGCTCAAAGGGTAATATTGGAGCTGGACATTTTCTTTGTGCGATACATCAGATTCACAAATGGGACAGATTACCACAGAAAATTTAGTAAGGTTGTGGATTTGGCAAGAGCGGCCTTTGAACTGGATTAGGTTAATTTAATTGAGTGAACCAGAAAGTATCCAGGTGTAAATTTACTGGAAAGCCAAATAACTGAGCGGTTTCTGATTATGCGCAGTATTTCCTGAGAGATCGAATTTTGGGAAACAAAACCGGCAATGTGAACAATACTCGAAGAATACTTCTCAGCACCGATATCATATCGAAAAGTGTAACATGAAACAAAATATTTGTCGTTGCACTTATCTACAATTTTCCATTTCAACTGTTTCACCTTTTCACTTTGTTCTGTCATCATCATCGTACAGCGAAATACAGAGAAGTGAATTTCACTGATCGCTGCCAAACTCG